TTCTAGAGAGTTTGAGGTACTCTCTATCTCGATCACGCCTGGCGGGGTAGTCTCGCGCCTGGCGCAGGTGTGACTTGCAGAGGTGGAACACTCTGTTCTTCTCAAGCCCGGCGCGGGTCATCTTGCGCCCGGTGCAGCCACTCTGCTCTGCTCCTTAGCTCCTTAGATTTTCAATCCTAAGGGCCTTCAATCTTCAATTCTCTAGCTCAATACCTGCACAAAAAATGAGGTGTATTAAGGTATTGTTAGCTAAATTCTGGGTTATCTATATCTGCACAGAAAATGAATCAAAAAGAGAACAATTATGTTGCAATGGTTCAAAGAATGAGTGGAATTGTTCATTAAGTCTTGTCCAAAAGAAGTATAATTGAGACTTAACAAATACTCAGGTCCAGGAGTGGACGATAATACTCAATGTTCTTCATTTCATATCTAGTGGAACCCTTCAAGTTGAAGGAGACTGGACATAGCTCTGTTGAGCGAACTAGTATAAAATGATTGCATCCTTTTATTTACTTAGACGCAAATCTTCCTTACTGATTAAACATTTGTGAAAGACTTCGTCCAGTGTTTATATATCTTTAAAACAACTTTTAGACAAAGACGCTAACCTTGCTTTACAAACTTATTACACTGAAAGTTTCATCTGCCACTTATCTTTAAACGAAATTATCTTGAAAAGGAAAATGTGAGAACTTCAATTAATATTTTTACGAGACATTTTCCCTAGTGGACGATAAACCCTTCAGACGCATTGATCGTATTTTAAGCAAACTATGCACAACCGTCTGATATTCAAAAGTGCAGTGGACGAAGAGCACTACTCTTGCGAAAATGTTTTTAAAATACCTTCGTTCACACACACACACATATTCAACCCCCACCTCTTCTATGTTTTTTTCCGCTAACCTCACATGGAGGGTTAGGAGGCGTGTTTTGCTATCGTGAGTTAACAATGGAGCAGCAGTACAAGTACTCAAAGAGTGACCGAGCTCTATGAGCCACCATCAAACATACTTGTGGACTAACTAGCTTTTGCTAAAAAGGAGGGAAAATTATGGTCATTTGTTTAAGGGGAGGATTGTTGGGATACAATCAAAATCCCACATTCTTATAACATAAGGATGTACATAGGTTTATATACACATAATTATCTCCATTGATAAGAGGTTTTTTGGGTGATATCCAAAAGCAAAACTATGAGGGTTTAAGCCTAAAATGGTCAATTCTTACCAATGTGGAGACATATGTGAGTGTGTGAAAATCTCGTTGCACAACAACCTTTAACATCCTAGCTACACTAAGATGAAAGGATGTAGAGGTTATAGAAATACTAGACTATACAATTAAAGATGTATTAACAAAATTAATTAGTACTATCTATATTTTCCTACTAGTGAACCTGTAACATCTAAAGTACATTAAGATGGAAGGGATCTAGAGTTTGTATAAATATTGGACTATACAACTAAGGATGTCTTAACGAATTAAATAGTATTATCTATATTAACAAGATGCATATACTTTTTAATAAATCATCACTTAAAAATTTCATAGTTAAGTGTGTTTGGCTTGGAGTAATTTCGAAATGGATGACTTTCTAAGAAGTTTTCAAGAAAATGTGTAAGGACAAAACATATTGAAAAATCTTATGTTAGTTTGTGACACAGTTGTTGATCTTGATCCTAAAAGTGACTGGACATCTTTAGAAAGACTTCCTACAAAGGGTTTTGAACAACAAAAAGTTGAGTGACTTACCAACCTTTTTTCTTTGTATATATGTGTGTATAGGAAGTAACTCATTTGAGACTACTTAGATAATAAAATTAGAATTATACAATTTATTAAAAGTATGATTTAGTAGAACTGTACATTTAGTGGTTAGCCAAAAATTCAACAATGAGTTTGATTCATTACTTATTGAACTAAAGGTCAGTAGAGGTCCATCAAAATACAATTTTATAGTCATAGGAGGTAATGAATGCATGTCATAAAAAATGAAAGTTTGAACAAATATAATTAATAATTTAATATATAATTTATTTAAAATTACAGCTAAATAAGTTAAATTCAAAATTAGTGAATAGATTTTTCATAGATTTTTCTGACTCTAACAAAGAGTTAAATTTTAATACCAATCATTTTTTAACCGTTAGGGGAGACTAACATGGGTATAGGGCAACACACCCCGTTGCGATTAGGGATGGCAACGGGGCGGGGCGGGTACGGGTTTCATGATACCCG